AAAAAAAAAAAACCTTGTTGCGGAAAGTCGAAGCCTCCGAGGACCAGGCATTCCCCGGTTCTGTAATAAAAGTGATTAATTAACGCCACGTGGCTACTCCGTATATGTGGCGTCGGGGCTCTCTCCTTTCTCTTTCCCTTTCCTCCTCTCTTTTTTCAAAGCTATTCCCTCAGATTCCGTTCCGTCTCTTCTCTCTCCCTCGGGAATCTCTCTGGTTCTTCGATCTCCCATGGCTGAAACTACCGCCATTTGCTTCTCGTCTTTCTCTTCCCTTCCCTCCATTTCTCTCCGGAGGCAACCCAATTCCTCTCCCTCCACCTCTTCCAGATTCTCAATTTCGCGCCCGCCCCGTCAATCCCGCGTCATTCGATTCACCGCCAAGGCTTCGGATTCAGGAAGCTTCCCCGGAGACGATTCGTTCGGTTTTTTTCCGTGGTCAGATGGTGAGAATGGTACGATTCATTCCTCGTCTTCTCCGTTTATTTGTATAAAACTTTTTTTTTATTTTATTTTTAAGTTCAGCTCAATTTGTGAATTCGAATATGGGTTTATGTTACCATCTGCTATCAAATCAAATGATTGATTGAATAGACAATTTTTTTTGGTGGAATGGAATAGTACTAGGGAAGGCATCAAGCTATTACATAGTTTTTTTTTTTTTTTGAAATCCTAATATTGAATGAATTACTTTTACCTGTTGGAGAAATATCATTTCTTTGTTAGATATTCTGTTCTGATTCATTTGGGGTTCCTAGTGTAATCGTCTGTAGATATAATATGGTTCAGCTATTGGCATGATATTATCTATCCCATTAAAGTGGCACACTTGATGGCATTGGTGGCTAATGTTGCATGCATTTATATGGAAGGAATCGAATGGGTTCAGGAGGAGAGGATCACCTTATTCACTGCTGAGGGCCTTATTCAATTTGGAGGTTCCATGGTCCCTCGGCGCTTTACTTCTTCTGATGTATGTATCTCCTCCTTTAAAATTAATTGTTAATTTGTTATACTGTTTGATCAAACATTTAAGAAAATGTGTATGGATCACCAAAAGTGAGAAGAAAAGTTGCTTTTAAACTTGCAAATTGTCTCATTTCATTATAGAATATAGGATATCATGCTTTAAGCCTTTTCTTTCAAGTCTGTATCATTTTAGGGTAACTGGATCAGATGGCTGAAGAATTGTTCTTTGAACAGAGGAAGCAGGGAAAATCGAAAACTTCTCAAAGATTTCAACGTTTTCAAGAGAGGGATTACATGGATCCAAACCAAGGCTTATGTCTAGGTGCTCTTTTTGATATTGCTGCAACAAATGTAAGGAACTTGAATGCTGTCATTTTATTCTAGCCATGGATTTCATTCACTTTGCCTTACAGAATTTGGTCAATTTAGGGACTTGATACGGGCCGAAGACTTTGTATCATTGGGTTTTGCCGTTCCATTGAAATGCTCAGTGATGTTGTGGAAGACACTGTTTTGGAGCATGGTGGGGAGGTGTGTCATAGTCAATAAGAATATATTTTTATTCACACTTAATTACTGTTTTTTGTTTCATTTTTGAAGATATTGAATTTCAGTAATGAGTTAGAATTATATTAGAATTTAAAGATTTAAAGTTCATCTCAGTTTCTGCAGCCTTGACTTTCATTGTGGTATTTCTAAGCCTCCCATCCATTTATAAGGTAGATTAGTCCATATATAGGGTGTTTTAGTACTGATATGGGCAACAGAAACTAGAGTGGAACACAACTGCCAAATTGGTGGCTGGACCTGGGGTTAAGTATTTGCTTTGGCTTTTAAGTCTCAATGCTAGTTTATCCATGTTTTCTTACCATCAGATGAAATGTGAAAACATCATGATACTGAAAATACTTCATAACCTTTCATTTGGTTTAAATATGAGTACAAGGAACTAGGCCCTCGATGGTCAGTATAGAGCAAAACCCTAACAGTAGCTTCTGATGTGAATATCTTACCACACAATTTTCATAATAATGCTAGTTAGCCATACATGTTTTATGTTAGTTCACAGGCAATACAAGTACAATTTGAATTTTCCAGCTGGCAACAGTACAGAGAAGAGTAAGAAAAATTGATAGAAGGTAATGAGAAAGTAGAGGAAAGTACAAGAAAAGCTGGAATTTAGGGCAGGGAAGTGGAACTAGAAGAATTAAGGAAGAGACTACAGTGGAAATTTATGCAATTTATAGCATGACATAATGTACCTGAAACCTGAAGCATAAAACCCGAGTATTGTTCATTTTAAATCCAATCTTCCTTTTTTATTAAAAAAAAAAAAATCCAATTTTCCTTAGGTTTTGCATTGATGCAGGCATGTAGCATTTTTAGTTTTGCAGTTAACATTGAACTTGTTTGGGTTAGTTTTCATTCGTTAACCCCACTATCTATTATCTTCAGGTTGTTGCTGCTGAAAAGGCTATTAAAGGTGGTTTGCATGAGAAGCTAACCATGACAGTAGCAGTGCCATACCTCTGGGGCGTTCCTCCTGCTTCAGAAACACTGCACCTTGCTGTGCGCAGTGGTGGAGGGATTGTGGATAAAGTTTATTGGCAATGGGATTTCTTGTAAATAATGTTAAAAACATCCAGTTATTAATCAAAATTCATGCAATCTGTACATAAAATTATTATGCTCTGATTTACAAAATTGAAATGCTGTATCCAAGGGTATTAACTCATGTTAATATGATATTATAATTCATTGTTTCCCACTCGAGATATCAAATCTCAGTGGAATTGTTGTGAACTTCCTCTTCTCTCAAAGATGGGAATATATAGGTCTCATGCACAGATATATGGTTCAGAAGTTACCAACGAAACTGTTGGTCCGAGTGAAAGGAGCTCGATTTTTTTTAAGTAAAGTCTCGAGTTTGAGTATTGTGAATAGAGAAACATGTGTTGGGAGAGCTTTCCTCCTAATGGAGTCCAATGTACCTC